TCCGAACTAGATGGAGATGGACTACTCTCTGAGTCCATGCTCCCATAGTCCAGGGGCATCACCTCACTCCCTACTATACTTTGTGTTCCTTCTGAGGACATTTTCTCAAACTCTGCACGAAGTAAGGGGGAGGAATAAGTCAGAATCCTCTTAAAAAAAAAAACCCCTTTTTGTTGCACATTCAAAATCCTCCTCACCTCTAACCCTAACTTCCTTCAAAGGACTTTAAATCAATCACAGAAAGGGAGAAAGGAGAGAGACACTTCGATTAACTCAAAATCAGAGGTTCGTCATACATTACCTGATTTCGGTTTTGAAAGACTTGATGTAGAGATCCCCAGCTGATGCTGTAGTTCACGCTCAGGAAACGTACAGTAAAGCTTTTTGCAGAAGTTTTGCAGGAAAAGAAATGCAAGTAAACCCCTCTCTGCAGAAAAAATGCTTATTTATACCTCTAGGCAAAATTAGATCTCAATGGCTGAGGTTCATTTAATCTTACGGTTACTATTAACACCGTTTGGCATTCAATGGCCAACCCCAAACGGCACCGTTTTGAATTCGACGGTTCGTTTTAAATTTGCCCGTTTAACTGTTGCAGTTATCTTTTTACGGCTGCATTTATTGCACATGTCATCCCAAGGACAACTGTCAGACTTTTCAGACAAGCCTAATTACGCCCATTTTAACACCTTCGTTCACTTTTGCATATTCTCAATTTTGCAAGTGTTTCACCTCGGCTCCGGCCATTATGACTCCGGTCATTATATTTTATTATGACTCTGGCCATTTTAACTCCCGTCTTTATACTGAAGCCTAGCTCAGCACTTCTGTTTACTTTTACAATTACACTTTTTAACAGGCATAGTGTTTTACTTCGGCTCCGGCCACAGAGACACGTGTTTTACTTCGGTCCTAGTTACTGTGACTAGATGTCACTTACTCTACCTCGGCTCCGGCCATTATGACTCCGGTCATCACATTTTGTTACGGCTCCGGCCATTACGACTCCGGTCATCATTCTCCATCACGGCTCCGGCCTCTATAGCTCCGGTCATCATTTTTTATCATGGCTCTGGTTACATTATGACTCCGATGATCAGCTTTTACTATGGCTACGGCCACATTAACTCCGGTCATTATTTTTACCACGGCCACAGCCATGATCGCTTCGGTCATATTCTATTTAAGACACTCCTATTATGACCCACTGTTACATATTTCACTATTAGTTACGGCTATGTCTACATTTGAGTTACAGATTTTATTTCTTCCTTTTACTTCCATGACTTATTTGTATTCTCTTTGTTTATGCACTCCCCTCATTATCCCCAACAACATCATTCACAAGTGAATGACTTCGGGGGGGGAATAGTGTAAGGACAGGTCCGAGGTGCCAAGCCTCGGACTGATACAGTAATTCCCTCATGACCGAAGTGAAGGACAAACCCAAAGCCTCACGCTCAAATAGTTGCATGATAGTGACAATGAGCATGCCCGCACCTGATCCCTTATGATGAGCTACACAGCAGTTAAGGTGGACATCCTTGCACCTGAATACCTCTCAAATTCCCGGTCCCAAAATAACCGTCTGGAGATACACATCAGATCCCGAATATCTTGCTTGGCATGCCACGTGGGTTCCTTACTGGATCCTATAAATACCCCCCCAGGCCACGTCAAAAGGTAATTGAAACCAACCTTAAACTCTTTTTATCTCCGCCCTAAAGGTAGCCCCGATTATTGCTGACTTAAGCATCGGAGTGTCTGCCCCGAGTTCCACCTCGGGGCTTTGCAGGTCGTTCCGGAGTGCAGACGCGGACTGAAGAAGGACTTCTGGTTTGGTGCAATTACAGCTATTTTTCAGACTGAAAAATTGGTTTGAAAATAGTGAAAATTGGTATGAATATATTCATTCAAACCATTATTGATCCAAATATTTGGTCTAAAAATACCTGATCTAATAATTTTAATTTCAGACTAGTGATAAATCGGTTTGAATAAAATTAATTTTCAAACCAAAATTGGTCAATATAAAGGTCGACATTTCAACCGACAACAGACCTAGGTTAGACCAAAATCGGTATGAATAATTACCAGTTCTGAAATAACAACAGTTTGAATATTCTTGCAAATTTCAAACCGAGAATCTAAAAGGCTCTTGTTCAAACAACAAGCTCTAAAAGGCTTGAATACCATAGAGTCTAACCTTAAGACTAACAATAGCAAGTCTACATGTTTGTGGTTTAGACACAACATGGGATAACCTAGCAGTTAATGATCTTAATTTATCCTTATAGCTAATGATCTTAACTCTACGCATTTGCAATTTTGCAATGATGCTGCCTTATGCCACTGTGAAGCCATTTTGAGCGATTAACTGATGGTGTTGGGGTTAAGAGCAACTATAGTAATGAGGTGAACGCAACTGGTTTTGGTAGAAACAGAATTGGGGCTCCTTTGCGTGGGATTGTCTTTAAACAAAGAGAATGAAAAATTCTAAGAGGAGAAGCTTTTAGATTTTGAACACCCTATTCAGACCATTGTTGGTCCAAATACGTTTTTAATGAGAAATTCACAATATACATAATATAATTATAGTATTTAATAAATTAAGATTAATATGCTAAATAAAATAAACATAATGATAGCAATATAAACTAACACATGATATAATAATTGAAGTATTAAATAAAAAATAAAACTCATAAATCAACATAAAACATTAAAGGGAAAAAAAGGAATTTATATTCAGACCACAATCGGTCCGAATAACTTTTTCGAACCGGTAGTGGTCCGAAAATAATTTAAAAAATAGAATTAAAAAGAACAATGCAAGCAAAATAATTATATTATTCAATTAATATATAATTAAAGTATTTAATACATTAAAATTAACACTTTAAATAAAATACATATAATTATATAAATACAAAGTAGAAAATATCAACAAAATTATAAAAAAGCCCAATGGACATAATATAATTATATTATTTAATAAATTAAAATTAATATGCTAAATAAAATAAATATAATGATAGCACCATAAACTAACAAATAACATAATAATTGAAATAATAAATAAAGAATAAAACTCATAAATAAATATAAAAGATTTAAAGAAAAAAAAAAAAGGAATTCATAATCGGATCACAATCGGTCCAAATAATTTTTTCGAACCTAGACTGGTCTGAAAATAATTTTTTTTAAGAAAAGATAACACAAGTAAAATTATTTAATTAGTATATAATTAAAGTTTTTAATAGGACAAAATTAACATTTAAAACAAAATAAATATAATTATATATATAAAGTAGAAATTATCAACCAAATTATAAAAGAAAGTACAACACACATAATATAATTATAGTATTTAATAAATTAAGATTAGTATAATAAATAAAATAAATATAATTATGACAATACAAAACATGCAAAGTAAAATAAACATAATGATAATAATATAAACTAGCAAATAACATATTAATTGAAATAATAAATAAAGAATAAAATTCGTAAATAAACATAAAACATTGAAAAGGAAAAACAAAAAAAAGGGACTTCATATTTGGACCACAATTGGTCCAAATAACTTTTCTAAACTAGTACTTGTAAGAAAATAATTTAAAAAATAGAATTAAAAAAGACAATGCAAGCAAAATAATTATATTATTTAATTAATATATAATTAAAGTATTTAATAGATTAAAATTAACACTTTAAATAAAATACATATAATTATATAAATATAAAGTAGAAAATATTAACAAAATTATAAAAAGCACAATACACATTATATAATTATAGTATTTAATAAATTAATATTAATATGCTAAATAAAATAAACATAATGAGAGCGGAATAGGTTCAAAGCAAGGGATGTGGTGGCAAAGGGTGATAGTGGATCCAGACAACGGCAACAGCACAAAAGGTTTGTAGGTATTGATTATGAGTTTTTAGGGCAAACAAAGACCTTCCTTGTTTACAATTTTCCTGAGAAGTGTGGGGCAAGAGATTTGTGGCAATGTTTTTAGATGTATGGAAAGGTTGCATATGTGTATGTGCCAGACAAGAGGGATAAGTGGGGAAAGAGGTTTGGTTTTGTTCATATGTTAGGGGTGAAGAATGAGAACCAAATGGAAAGGAGGGTTAATGAGATCTAGGTTGGATTGCATAAGATAAGAGTGAAAATTACCAATGATAAGCGAAGGAGAAAGATAGTGTATTAGAAGGTCTCAATTGCAGATAATGGCAGAGGAACAACAGGCAGATTAGACAAATTGATCCAACTGGCACAGTCATTTGCACAAGTTGTAGTCTCGAGTGGTATACAAAAAGATGGGAGCATTGTGTGTAAAAGGCCTTTAGGCGAGAAGGAGAAGGAGAAGTTGATGGATAATGGTGATATGGTAATAAACATGATGTTTGATACAAAGGATAAGGTGGGTTTTGATGTTAGGCATGATGGACCAGGAAGGTTGGCAGAAGATGGAAAGCTATAAATGAGGGGGGAACTAATTAAAGTTTTCCCATTAAAGGAAGAGGTTTAGTGGCTTGAAAGGAGTATGGTGGCTGTGGTGAAGTCTTTAATGTCCATAACAGCTATTTAAGAACGAATGGATGTGGATGGAGGGTTGCTCATTTTTTCACCATTAGGAGGAAGACAATTTTTATTAACTGATCATGTATAGGGTTATCTATCTGATTATATGTAGCAAAATATGGAGCTGTTTGATCTGTGGTTTGAATTAATATAGCCATGGGCAGTAGCACCTTAAACAAGTAGTAGAATGGTATGGTTATGCATAATTGGGGTTCCATTGAAGGCCTGGAGCGTTAGATGCTTTGAGAAGATTGGTAGATCAGTGGGTGAAGTGATATTGATTCATGAGCTTACAAAGAACAAGGCTATTTTGTTTGAGGGAAGGGTATTGATTCTAAGCTTAAAAATTGGCAAGATATCAAAGTCCATTACATTAAAGGTGAATGATCAGCAATATAAGATTGGGGTGGTTGAGGAAGAATGGCAAATAGATTCAGATTGGTGGCTGTCAGAATGTGACCAGTGAAGTGAGAGGGGCTCTTAATCGAAATATTCTACAAGGCAAAACAGCTATGCGGATCACAAATGGGTTAATGTCGAGATTTGCGTTGATAAAGGTGATAGCATTTAAGATATGAATTCAAGGAATGAAGGTTTTTGAAATTTAAACAAAACAAGCAAAATTGAGGGAGCTGGTAGCTTTCATTTGGAAAGCAAGACAAATTCTCGAGTGGGTGATGAAAACAAATCATGTATGGAAATTGGGCCGTTAGTGGATAGGCAAGGTGGGATGAAGGAGAGTGGTGGGCTTCTAGCAAGTCCAATTGGGATGGTTGGGTGCAATAAAGGTACTAGACTCGATGTTGTTAATGTAGGACAGCTAGCTTCTGTCTGAGAGATGGAAAAAAAGGGATTTGATGGGTAAAAGGCATAGGAAAATAGAAGATTATTACCCAAAGAAGCTAACTAAAATCTAGGTTGAATGGGAGCAATGGATGACGGCTAGAACACAGTAACGACGAGGAAGAAGAGAGACAGCTCAAAAAGCAGTAAAGGAAAAATAGAAGCAAGTTGGCAACACCTCTTTTTTAGATGGCTGTATTGTGCATAGAAAGTAGGTAATTCAAAAAGAACTGAATTTGCATAAGGCAAGGAAGATGATTAGAGTGGGGAAAAGGTTGGGTATTGAAATCCAAGGCAATGAAGAAGAGGTTGAGTCTAGATTATTAGAGCTAGAAGAAAGGGATGAGGAGAGGGGGCAAAATTTAAAAAAGAATTGAGGGGTGTTCAACTGATTAGGGTTGTGGATTTTCTTTTGTGAATGAAGATTTTATCTTTTAATGTTAGGGGTTTGGGGGGATTTTTGAAGAAGAAGGAAGTGGGGGAACTAGTAAAAGTAGAAACGCTAGATTTCTTGTTCTTAAAGGATACTAAATTTTAAGGGGTAGATGGTAATTTATGTAGAATGTTGTGGAATTTAGATAGCTTTGATTGGGTCATGAAGGCGTCAATAGGAGCCTCCAAAGGTCTGTTGTGTGTTTGAAACAAGTTGAATTTTGCTAAGATGGAAGAATTTACGAGGGATGGTTTTTTGGGTGTATCAGGGGAATGGGGAACGAAGAAGTTAAAATGTTATTTTGTGAATGTATATGCCTCGAATGACAAAAGGAAGAAGGTTGAGTTGTGGGAGGAGTTATGGAAAATAATTCTAGAGAAGATAGGGTAATGGTTGATTACGGCTGATTTTAATGTTGTAAGATGTCTTGAAGAAAACAGGGGACAAATAGGGGAGAATCTAGAGATGAGGGAATTTAATGATTTTATTGAGACAACTAGGCTAGTTGACATTAGATTGGCGAATCGAAGGTTTACATGGTATAGATAAGACAGTTCTTCTATGAGCAGATTGGATAGAATCTTGATGACCGAAGAGATGTTTAATACGGGTGGTGAATGGGTGCAGCAAGGGTTGAGAAGAACTATATCAGATTATTGTGCCATAATTATGAAGACAAAAATAACAGATTGGGTTTCCACAACTATTCAGGGTTTAGGATGCTTGGCAACAACATACAACATCCAAATTTTAACAAAATAGTAGAAGATAAATGGAAGGAGATGCAAGTGGATAGGTTCTAAGGTTATAAATGTAACAGAAATTAAAATTGTTGAAAGAGTTCTTTAAAGGCTAGAATAAAGAAGTGTTTGGGGATATTGAAGTTCAATTCAACAAAGCAGCTAAAAAGGTAGAGCATGTTGATATGAAGAATGAAGAGTATGTTTTGGAAGATGTTGAGCTGGAAGATAGACAGCAGGGTTTTTAGGAGATGTGGGCAATCATGCGAAAAAGGGAAGCCATATGGAAGCAAAAATCAAGAAGCACTTGGGTTCAGTTGGGTGATGCAAATACAAGATTTTTCCATAGAGTGGCAAATGGTAGAAGGGCTGAAAACAACATTCCAAGTTTGTTGTGTGATGGTATATGGGTGGAGGAACTGAAGTTGGTAAAATAAGAAGTTGTAGCATAATTTCGAAAGTTGTTTCAAGGAGAAGTATGGAATCGACCCAGGCCTTTTGGTATAAACTTTAGGCAGATTTTTGAGGAGAGGAAATGGTGGTTAGAAAGGCCATTCTCAGTGGAGAAGATCCAAGATGGGTTGAGGAGTTGTGAAGGAACTAAAGCACTAAGGCCGATGGTTACAACTTCAATTTCTCAAATATGCATGGAATAGTACAAAGGAGGACTTTGTGAGTTTTTTTAATGAATTTAATCAAAATGATAGGTTAGCAGGAGGACTGAACTCTTCTTTTTTAACTCTAATCCCTAAGAAGTTGAATCCTACAAAATTGAAGGTTTATAGGCTAATTAGTTTGATCGGGTGCGTGTATAAATTGCTGGCAAAGATGTTAGCTAATAGACTTAAGACTGTTATGCCAGAAATAATAAGTGATACTCAATCAGCATTCTTGGGGGGCCAACAACTGGTAGATATTGTTCTAGCTTTAAATGATGTAATGGAGGAGATTAAGAGGATGAAGTAGCAAACTTTTATTTTCAAGGTAGATTTTGAAAAAGCAGATGACTGTGTAGATTGGTCGTTTTTTGACTGGATGATGGATAAGTTTGGCTTTGGTACCAAGTGGCAAAGATAGATCAAGGAATGTCTCTCGACAACAAAGGTATCGATTATGGTGAATGGGAGCTCGATAGAGGAGTTTAAGGTGGGTAAAGGATTATGACAAGGTGATCCACTATCTCCTATTCTTTTTTTGATGATTGGTGAAGGACTACATGGTTTGGTTAACAAGGCAGTGATTGAGGGAATGTTACACAAGATACCAAGTGGTAAAAGGGGATTCATTGTTTCTTTACTTCAATTTGTTGACGATATAGTAATTTTGGGGAAAACTAATAGTTTGAATATTTTTATGGTGAAAATTATTTTGAGATGGTTTGAGCTGATGTCTGGATTGAAGATTGATTTTTGTAAAAATAGTGTTTGTGGATTTAATGTGTCAGAGAGGTGGTTGAAAGGGACAACAAGCATTCTGCGATGTCGTGTCGGGGAAACTCTTTTCATATATTTGGGAATGCCTGTTGATGGAAAACCAAGGAGTAAGAGGTTCTAGGATCTGGTTGTTAATAAACTCCGTGCCAAACTTGTTGTCTAAAAGTCTGCTATGTTGCCCGTTGGAGGCCATATTATTCTTCTCAATTCAGTAGTTTCTTCTTTATCTATTTTTTAGATGTCTCTATTTTTTATGCTTAGCTGTGTGGCCTCTATGTTGATTAGTATTCAAAGGGAATTTTTGTGGGGTGGGGTTGAGTTAAAGAAAAAAATATCATGGCTTAACTGGGATTCAATTTGTTGTAGTAAGATGAAGGGTGGTGTTGACGTGCCAAAATTGATGAAGTCGCCATCTATCCAAATAAGATGGGATAGATTACCAAGGTCTACATAGAAATTGACTAGGCTCAAAAGGTTAGTTAAGCATGGGGAAGGTGTTAGGCACCCCACAACTGCCATATAATATGGTTACCACATACTTTTAATTTTGGGAGCTTTTCAATTTTATATCAAAATAAAAAATAAATAAATAATTACCAAAAACACAATAAAAAAAAATTCAATTAGAACCCTTCCTTGTCCTTCCCGTTTTTGTTCTTCTTTTTCTTTTAGTTCTTTTCTTCTTCTTCTTCTTCTTTTTTGTTTCTTTTTCTTTTTTTCATATTCTTGTTTCTACTTTTTCCCTCATCACCTTTTCCGTCTTTTTCCTCTTTTCTTTTTTTTGTTTCTACTTTTTCCGTTTCTTTTCTCTTTTAGTAAAAAAAATCTAATTTAATTAAAGAGAAAAAAAAAACAGCCATATTGGTAGCAAAGTGACAAACAACATAAATGAAACAAGAAAATAAAAAAAAAATTCTATGACTTGACGAACAAAATAGGTGAGAAACAAATGAAGAATAAAAATATTAAAGGCACAGACAAACCATGAAAAGAAACAACTAAAAAAAACAGCTATTAACCATAATGAAAGAAAGGGAAATAAAAAAAAACACACTTGAAGAAGTGAAGAAATCTGATATTATTTGTTTGTAGAAAGAAACTTTAAAAGAGTACAAGATTTCCTTCCCTTTTTCTTTTTTCTGCAGTCTTTTTCCTATTTTTCTGCTTTCTTTCTCTCTCAATCTCTCTAGTCTTCCTTCTCTCTCAATCTGTCGGCTCTCCTCTCAATTTTTGAATGTCCCTTAAGCCGAAGGTGCCCCCCCTTTTTATACAGAAACAGAAAGAACTCCAATCTTTTTCTAATTCTAAATTCTAATCCCAATCCCCAAAATTACAGATAATAATCTAATCCTATTCGAAATTGGAATTCTAAAACTAATCTAGTCCTTTACACATCTTCCCTCTTTCAAGGCTAGATTCATATCTTTTAAAGATCAGGACTCCTCATTTGAATCGACTCCGAAAACTTCTTCTTCAATTCTTGATAAGGACATCAAATTCGAAAATCTCTTCTTGTGTTGTTGTGATCTATCTAAACTTCGAGTGGATTTGGAGATAAATAAAAATAAAGAATTTGGGAATTTTGGGAAAGGCTAGCAGCAAAGCAAAAGGAATCGTGAAAAAGGAGGGCTAGGGTTTGTCCGAACCCAACCTCCCTTTTTTATTTTTTAACCCATTGGTCAAAACGACATCGTTTTGTCATTTCCTCTTCTTAACCCCTTCAAGTTTCCAGCTTTACAAAAACAGTCAATTGACTTCTAATTTTATCATTTAACCCCTCAGTAAAAATTGGGTTATGACAGGTGGTTTAAGAGTGTCAAATCTACGTAGGAGGAATTGGGCATTACTTGGGAAGTGGTGGGGTAGATTGGTTGATGGAGTAGAGAGTTTATGGAAACAAGTGGTGTGGGAAAAATATTATAGAGGTAGGAGGGAGGTGGATATTACGGTAATAAAAAGTGTAAGGGTGTCTAAGCTTTGGAGTGATATTATTAGAATAGGAGGGATGTCGGTGGGATTAAGGAATACGATGGTGAAGGGTTTTAGATGGGAGGTAGGAGATGGTTGTTAGGTGGGGTTTTGGAGAGAGCTCTAGGCTGCGGAGAAGTCATGAAGGGATTTATGTCCTCGATTATATGATTTGGCTGTCAATAAGGAGGGTTTGGTTAGTGAGATGGGTGAATGGGAGAGGGATAGGTGGCGATGGAATATAGAGTGGAGAAGGGTGAGGTTGGGTCGAGTGAGGAATGAGGAAGAGGTTTTCCGGGAGGTGCTTGGTCAAGTACAATTATAGAAAGGAAAGGAGGATTGCTAGTGGTGGGTACATGGCTTGGAATGAAAATATGTAGTGAAGAAAGCTTATGAGGTTTTAGCTCCTATGAAGTGCCTTCTTGCGAACTAGTTTTGTAAGATGATTTGGTGTAGGTTAGTGTCTTCAAGAGTTGATTTTTTTGGGTGGAGGTTGTCTTGGTAGACTTCTAACAAAGGAGAATTTACAAAAAAGAGGTGGTGTTGGAAGGGGAAAGTTTAATGTGTAGTTTGTCTAATGGAGCGATAGAGGAGGCTCACCATCTATTTTGTACTTGCAAGGAAGCTTGGTTAGTTTGGGCACAGGTGTTGCACTAGTGGGGTATTGAGGTTGTGCTATCAAATACAGTAAAGGAAATTGTAGAGTTTTTTCTACATGGTTTGGGTAGGGTAGTAATGAAGGAAATGGAAGCGTGTATTTTCCTTGTTGTTTCTTGGTATCTTTGGTATTGTAGGAATACTAGAGTTTTTAAGAATATTAAAGGTTTTAGGGAAAAGGTGGTGGATATGGTGCAAGCCAAGATTTTTTTCTAGATTAAGATTAAGATGCAGGGGTGTATTTTTTTCTTTTTCAGAGTGGTAGAATAACCCAATGTAGGCTGTTATAAAGGTTAGAAGGCATAAAAGGCTATTGAAGACATTCTATAAGCAAAAATAGGGGGTGGCATAAACGGATACAAGGTAGGAATGGTTTGCTTGTTGGTTCTTGGGTTTGTGTATAGTTTTATTGGCTGCTAGGTTTGTTTGTATTGGTCATGCCTTTTCATTTTGTATATGGGTTGCAATCCCTCTTGTGCTCCTTAAAATAATAAATGATATTTATTTTGCTAATCAAAAAATAAAAAAATAAAAAATAAACATAATGAAAGCAATATAAATTAAAAAATAGCAAAATAATTGAAATAATAAATAAAGAATAAAACACATAAATAAACATAAAACATTCAAAGGGAAAAAAAAAAAAGGGAATTCATATTTGAACGGGCCGAATAACTTTTTAGAACCAATAGTGGTCCGAAAATAATTAAAAAACAAAGATAACACAAGTAAAATAATTATATTATTTAATTAGTATATAATTAAAGTTTTTAATAGATCAAAAATTAACATTTTAATAAAATAAATATAGTTATATAAACATAAAGTAGAAATATCAACAAAATTATAAAAAAAAAAACACAATACACATAATATAATTATAGTATTTAATAAATTGAGATTAATATATAAAATAAAATACATATAATTATATAAATACAAAGTAGGAAATATCAACAAAATTATAAAAAAAAAAACACAATACACATAATATAATTATAGTATTTAATAAATTGAGATTAATATATAAAATAAAATAAATATAATTATGATAATACAAAACATGCAAAATGTAATAAATATAATGATAGCAATATAAACTAGCAAATAACATAATAATTGAATTAATAAATAAAGAATAAAATTC